TGTTGTTGTTGTTGTTGTTGTTGTTGCTGCTGCTGCTGAGAATCGGATATCCAACTTGTAAGGGGTGGTAACTCATGATATGTTACCGTTGCTGTAGTCATTGGGGTCAGAGAGGGTCAGCAGTTTCTGATCTTGAACCAAAAAGCACCATATGAAAGCCCAAGCAAATTGGGCAATTGTCACCTATTGCAGGTAAATTCTAGCAAAAATGGAGGTATATGATTTGATGTTGAAATGGATGAGCATCGAGAGCAGTCTCCTCCTTCTCCTCCTCCTCCTAATCGTCCTCTATCATATATTGTCGCAATCATTTTGCGCGACCTTGAAGGGAGAGCTGACCCTCTCCAGGCAGGTACCGACAATCTTTCAAGGTCTTCTCGATCATGCAATACCAACACGTGTTCCTCCTGCTCCAACTCCCGGCCCTGTTAATGCCATCTTTCATATCATCAAATCATCAAATCATCCATATGCACACACACATACACACACACATACACACACACACACACACACACACACACAGAAAAATTCAATTTTGTTTATCACAAACTTTCACTCTTGAAATTTCTGTCATTTCTAACGCCATCCTGTAGAAATTAGAAAACGAAGAATAAAATGAAAAATTATATGTGACAGACAATCAAGCAATTTAATTCCATTTTCAATTTCATTTTTAATTCTCCAGAAATCTTTGTGATCTTTTCCAATAATTTATTATGCTTTTATGAGTTTGATTTATTTGAATTGTATTTGCTTTTCTTTAAATTATCGTCAATAACACATTAAAAATCCTTCAGTATTTTAATTTTCTATTTTGGCGAAATTTACGCATATAAGGCGAAAATATACAACCAATAGATTTTATCTGTCAATTAGGATACCAACTTTGAGTGGCAAAGCGAACATAAATTAATAAATGCTCAAATAGTCCTTATGTTGACAACAATTTTAAATATCACACCTGATCAATAATAGTATTCAAAGAAAAAAAAAACAAAGTAAACCATGATGCTGAGAAATTTGTTAAAATTCATTTTCATCAATCAATATATAAATAAATCCTGACATGAATTCATTTTACCGCTCAGTGATGATAAAAATCAGCCTAAAGAATTAGAAATTTATAGCCAAAGTAAATTACAAGCTTCCTTAAATTCAATGGTTCAAACGAAAACTATTTTAATTTTAGAATTGGATATTTCTGATACATATCGGTTTAAATTATTTCATGAGATCAATCTGTCAATCTATTAATATGCAATTTGAATATATTATTTGAATTGTGTAGAAGTAATTAATTAATACAATCTCATCATTTTATTCGATCACTCAATAAATAATTGAAAACAATCGCAATTTCATCCTAACTTTACAAAATAAATGCCAAAAACGGAAGCAAACAAATAAAAGCTAATAAATGAAATACTATCGAAAATAAAATAAAACAAAAATAAAATTCAAACTAAATGAAAATAAAATACGCCAACTGATAAAGCTCTACAAATAGTACAAATGTATTGATTATTTTCGAAGATTTAACAAATTATTCAATAACGGTGTTATTAATTCGAGGAATAATATAACCTGCATGAAGATATTCATTGCTCAAAAAGACAATTGTAAAAGTGATAAGATTATAGAAAACAATAGTCAAATATGTAAGCTTCATCACAATGTACGATGAAAAGTTGATCAAAATTGCTATTATTCACTACTATATTATCACCTAAGCAAGAAGATAGCTATTGCAATAGTAATATACTCATTGAAAAAATTAAATGCTCATGATTGAAATATCCAGGATTTAAAGGATAAAAAAAATGAAGACAAAAGAAAGACTGACATAGCAAAATGAACGACATTGTTCAATCACAAGTAAATAAGCCAAATCAATATCTGCTTCGAAAAAAAAGATTCATGAAGCAAGATTTATCAGTTGCAAACAAAAGAAAAAAATTGTTATAGGAAGCAGATCATAAATTAATTTAACGAACAAACAAACAAAACTTTTTGCTTCAAAAGCTCAAAAATGTTTAAAGCTCAAAAACGACATAGCTCCTAGCACTATAAACAATTCTGAATGGTGCAAGGTCTTTTTTCATATGATGCCCATTCAATACACCTAAAATTAAATCACATAACGATTCACGTTTTCGATTCGCGGGATCCTGTAAATCCCATATTGCTCGATAGCTACATTCCGGTCTACAATTAATATAAAACATTGATAGCTCTTGTGGTTTATAATTCATCTTCGAAACATAATTGTGAAAAATGTCCATGGCTAACAAGAAAAGGAACAATATTGTTCTTCACTATCACATTCTGCTATTCAAGTTATAATTTCCTTTTTCTACCCACTCTGAATCCGAAATTTTGCATCGATTTCACACATCTTACCATAACATTTATTTTTATTTTGTTTGAAAACATCTAAGCTTATGATCTGGCCAGAAATGAGTCTGTGCAGAAATACAATTCATGACTATCTTTGCCAAAAATATAAAAGAAGAAGTATACCAGAGAATTAAGCATAAAAATTCAATTACATTGGATTTCATCTTTACTTCAAAATTTTTGTGAAAATTCAGAATAGTACGCGACTATGCGAAAATTTTATTTATTCTACTCATCTCTCTATCCATAAAGTAAGATATTAAATAATGTTTTTAAAATTCAAAAAACGATAAAAACTAACACGGACACACGTGCGTCACACCAACTTGGCTGAAAAATGTAATAGTTGATTCCCATTTCTTTCAAAGTATTATAAACTTCGTTCAACGGCTTCCGGCTAAATAGTGAATAAATCTTAAGCGTTCGAAATCTGAAAATTTGAATCTGAAATTATGACAAAGCAGATTCATCAAAATGTTCTAGCGATTTTACAACTATCCCATTTATTCTTCCTTGCTTTTTAAAAAAAAAAAATGAAAAAGCTGATGACTGCTTTGAAATGCACATAACACAGTAAATGTAAAAGTGGTATACAAATTCGTATTTAAACTTATTGATGCAAACAATACATGAAAATGAAATTCTGTAGAAAATAACTTTAATCTGCTAAAGAATCAGCCACCGAAATTCCCAATTTTATTAAAAAATAATTTTATAAAAAAATAAAAATACAGTCAATAGTTTGAACCAATTTCTCAAAAATTAAACATTACAAAAGTAGAAAAAAGACTGCTACTCAAGCAAGTGAGATGATTAATTCTTTCAAAGATTCATCAATCCAAAGTTGCATCGCAAAAGCACGCATCGAACTCAAACAGATTACAGAAAAATTATATTTACCTCATAGCTAGATTTTCTAAAGTTGCATAATTATAACAACAAATAACAGTACCTCAATTCAGCATCTTCATAGTGAGGATGATTTACGATTGGTCTTCCGGTAGACAATTTGACATTGGCCATAACCGGCATAGGGCCAGCAAAAACAGAATCTGCAAGATGTCGCGTGAAAATATAATGAATAATGGAAAATCACACAGATTAAGATTCAGGATCATGTGCAGTCACGAAAAATATTTGAATGTATCAAAACAAAAAACATATTGCAAGCATTTCTTCTATAAAAAACACTCACTTATTTTCGTTTTAGTAGATATCCAATTAAAAAGTGCTTCCTGATCCGGATTACTATATTCTCCCTGAATTTCCCACTGTTTTTGGATATTTATTACTCCCTGATAGGCCATAGTTGCTAATAGTGCAACAATTAAAATTCGATGCAACCATTTTGATATGTTGAAATGAATAGCATGTATCACGAACTGAAACATTGCAAATAAATTATCAAAAGATATTCAATCATTCAATGAGCTATATTTCGATAGCTTTAAAACTATACAGTAGATGTGTTATTCATGGTCTCTTGGAACACCCATGAGGACTACCACTAGTAGGTCATTTGTAACTTAAATTAACTGGAACTAACAAACTAAATTGTACCTAAATTACAAGGTATTTCGAGCATTTAATTTAAAAATTTTAATAATTTTATTTACACTGTTACACTAAATTTTATATTACACTAAAAGTTTTACAGAAAATTATATTTACCTCATAGTTAACTAAAACTGCCACAATAATAGATAAATGAGGTGTCATGAATAATTTTAAACGCATGATAAGAAAAGCCATGACGATGAAACAAATACACTGGATAATATTGTAAACAATCTGAAATGAAAAATTTTAACTGATTTGTGAAATCATTGAACAATGTAAAAAAATCCTCTACAAATTTTGATCTATTTCAGATCCGTCATCATGAATTCCCAGCATATATCTGTCACTCAAAAATTAAAGACTTTACATTTCGCCGCCATTTAAATATTATAATTTATTGTAAAATAACTTCTAAGTTGATTTATAACACTGTAGTATGGAGCATGTAATTATCTCAAGTCGAATGAGTAGAGAATCTTTGAAACGAGTAAAGTAACATGCCGAAAAATAGTTCTCTTTTAAGTAAAAGAAATACCTCAGCACATGGTTTGACTCGAATTTTATCTCGAAACATCAGCGGTTCATACCATACAAAAAACATGAAGACGAGGAAAAATGATAAAGCCGCAGCTGGCAAAAGAAGAGTTCTCATAAGATCTGTTAGATCCTGCAATTAGTTACATTTTAGAAATCATAAAGACTATCCTGGTATTTATTTGCTTAACCACAGGCAGAGATATATTAATGTTAATTTAATACAGCTATAAAAAAGAAATTTTGTAAACTGTCTGCAGGTTTAAGAAAGTAGTGCTTCTACAAAATTCCAATTAATTCCAATACTTGTAAAGTGTTTAACAAAATTCCAATTAATTTCGAAACACGACCTCGTTGTTATAACTATTCATCATTAAAAATTTAAGAATATCTACAACAACCTAACTTTGCAGTTTCATAGTTTACCTCGCTTCCTATAAAATCGAATTCTTTGGCACATGTGTATAAACGTGTATGAAAATTTGCAAATGATGTAAATTTTGCACGAAGAAGATCCATTATATGGGCCTGAAACTGTGCAAGTGCACTTTGGAAAACTCTCTTTACCTCGCACAACTTAACAGTAAATAGGAATTAAAAAACTTTCCTAAGGTAGTTTTTCTTTCGATGCACTTTAGAAGTATATTAAAAAAAAAAACAAAAAACTTACGTCATCCTCTACGTGCAACATGTGACTTACAGCTAATTTGATACCTACAGTACCGGTGATAAATAGAATGCTATTCACACCCATAAACAATAGTCGATTAGTAA